TTCTGCTGCACGTGCAGCTGATGGTGCCGGCACGATTGGTGGGTGCCCTATAAAGGCAGGTGACCCTCTGTCGATTCCAGGGCTGGGTGGCTTTTTTCAGGCCGGAGGTGGCCTTTGAACAGCGTGGCCGAAAGAAGACAGAGATGAGGGGAAGACGAAAATGCAGTTTGATGTTAAGGGAAACGTAGCTACATTAATGAATGTAGAAAATATGACAGTTCCTCATGCATTTATTAATTCCCTTCTTCTGTTGCATTAAACATTACAGTTCAATGGCAGTTTTTGTGGAGTCAGAGTTTATGCACACCCATTTTGCCAAAAGCCCTCTTGCCTTGTGCAGATAGGATGGCGGGGAAGGCAAGTCACATTACGCTTTGTCATTATATGAACACAGCCATGCTAAGTGTTGCACTGCGATTCTCCCTATTGCCTCTGGCCCTTTAATTTGCAGGATTTTATGAAGCTCTGCAAGGGTACAAACTCAAGAATATTCACGGCTGTGGGTTAGTTTTCAAGGACCAATATACGTGTATGACCTCAGGTAAACCTACATATGTGGTTAAAGGGTAATGCCTGGGTAGGGAAGGTGGTGACATGCATGATGTAAAAGAGGTAGCAAATGTGCAAACATAGTTACTCTCCTTTTGTATAGTAGCTGGTTCCCTCCTGTGAAGGAACAGATAGTAGCAATTTTAACAAATTAAATCCAAGTAACTTAATTCTTTTTTGTATCCTTTGCCTCTACACGTAAGCCACTAGAGTAGGAAGGAGAGACTAACATGTGCAACAATAAACCTGCTTCTGTGTCTCCTCACACTGTGCTTCATGCAAAGAGGATTGCACATTTAGCATGAAGGTCTGCAAGTGGGCTGCTTATCAAAATGAAATGAAAATAATGATGTGCTTTCTCTCAGCTCAGCTGACCTCACAGAGCTGTGTGAGAAAAAAATGAAGAGATATTCCCACAAAAATACTTTGAACTCCTGGAGGAAAGGTGGGATTAAGGTCAATTAAAATTAAGCAGACATGCCAATAATGACCATTATAGTAGCCATTTCTGGAAGGATTGGGGAATCACAAACTGTACTTCCCATATATGGGAACTCCTTAGGAATGGAAAGCAAAAAGAAATAACGTTATTTTATCCCACTTCTAAATTATCTCTGCCTGACTTAGCTACTCAAATAGTATGCTATTTACTGCTGTGGTAAGGAGGAAGAATTGAGACTAGCCTACATCCTTGCTTCTGGTTTTCAACAGAGCATGGAAGCACTCAGTCCAGTATTCTGCCAGTTATCAGAAAGACCCCAAAGGCTGTATCATATTTAAATTGCCAAGAGAAATAGCAAGCAGGCAATGCATATAGCTCTGTGTGTTCATTATTTAACCTTATAACAGTGTTAGTTTATCTGTGACTGCAGCACAAGGAAGGAACTGCGTGCACTTGACTAGTAATGTTAGCATTTGGTGATAATGCTATTTTCATCTTTTATTTTTATCTATTTGTGAAGATAAAAAGTGTAAAGAGTTTGTATCAATAAAATAATTTTCTAATTATATTCTGCTTGGTGCAGGGAATGTATGTTTTGCTGTGTCAGCTCACGTAGCTTCAGAGTCCCATTAAGCATTCTCTGGGACTTTTTTTTAACTTGTGTTTGAACCTATTTCCCTGTCCCTCACTCCTAGAAATCAGCTATTTTTACATTATTTTTATGATCCTCCTGCCAAGATTTATTCCTGGACTGTATGGGTCAAGATATTAATATTACATTGTTCTTGCTAAAGAACATGACTGCTCTTCATCAATTCTTGCACTTACTATCCAGAAATATAAAAGAATCTAGGAATTCTAAGACTAGACAATGCTTGCTAACCAGATTCTTGTGCTCCTCTCTACTCTTCATTTTAATTCAAAAAGATCATCTTGCTCTCCTCCTGTGCAGCAATCAACCAGATTCCCACATACTTTTCTTCAGTCATTGACTCTTCACTCTACATGATAACTGATTGTCAGATTTAACATGTCTCAGAGCACAGATCAAACTGGTTAAGGATCAGTATCTTAATCACAGTTTATAACCAGAGTTTCCCTAATTTACTCACCTTAAGCTTGGTTCCTAATGTTATCCACAACCACACAGGATTAATCTGAACATTTGCCTGTAGACACAAAGTCAGGAGGATAGAATGGTTCTAATGTTATTCTTTTTCTCCTTTTCTTTCACTTCATTATCGCATGGAAGTAAAGTGAAGTCAGAAATGGGATAGAAGGGGTTAAGCAATGACCTGTAGCACTAACTTCAATCAGTCCACCAATGAGCAGTTAAAAACCTGTGAGCTATTAGCCAATCTCTACAAACAAAAATGGTAGCTCTTTGGGATTTGGACCTCATAATAACCTTCAATGCTTGGCTGAAAAGTAGTATACAGTAGTAAGACGGTCATGTGTACTTGTTAACAAAAAAATTTGGTTTTCCTTGGTCTGCAAACACAGCCCTCATCTCCTTGCGTCTCTCTCTCTCTATGCCTCTGAGTCAGTTTTTGACTCCTGGTGACAGCCTGGACTGCAGCCTGCAGTTTGTTTGGCAAGATTTAGGGCTAAGAGAGAGTGGCTGGCCCAAAGCCAGGACTAAAGCTCATGGTCTCTGGGTTTCTAGCCTGGTGCCCTAACCACTACACCAAATTGAGTCTTCCTTACCTCCCTACACCAAAGAAATCTAGTTCTGTCTGCTTCAGCAACTCCTAGTTGTTCCCCTTTGGGGAAAAACACAGCACAGCCTGTGCTGGTGACAGGTGAAAGACCTTCAAGGAGAAGGAGGGGTCTTGTTCAAGTTCTAATGGATTGGCTATGCTGGTCTGGTAAGCCAGAGTTCCCTCATCCTCTTTGTAGAAAATATAGAGCAAAAACAAGTTTAGTTAGGAGGAAATGATAAGTATCAGTAGAATCTTTTTTTGGTTAAGGGTCCTTAGGGCAGAAATGATTATTCTACATAAGTAGCTATTTTATTGGGTATAGTGTAAATGGAAAGGTCTGCTCAAGATAGCAGATTAGTAGACAGGTTAATTAATGCTGAATCATTAAGTAATTCAGAAAATATACACAAGCATCCACATACCCATTTATAAGTTTAAAGTTCTTTCCAGGAGAAAGACTCTGGTTCAAGCTGTTGGCATGGATTCGCATGAGTTATATATAATCCAGGAAATACTTCCGTACTAATCAAACCAGTAGGGGTTCTTAGCTCATAGCACACACATGAATTATCTCATTTCTCACATGGATTAATTGACATGTTTAACTACATTTATTTTCTCCATTAGACTGCTTGTTAAGCAAGTTTTAAGAGCCACACCTCTGCTTTATAGTAGTCTAGCGAAATCTGATCTATTGACAGATAGAAACAATACGGCTTTCCATATCCGTGCTGTAACAGCCTTGAGGGCAAACAGTTGCGCCAGTTTAACAATCTTGAAAGAGTAAAGTCCATCACAACTAAAATTAAGTTAGGGAATTACAAGACTCTGGGGCAGGATGGATAAATAGTTTGATCAGCAATACCTCTTTGTAGTACCAAGGATTCGTGCAAATTCCTTCATCTTCTGTGTTTTTATGTTTTTAGCATTCTCATTTAAACAGTATGTGCCTTGCTATATCCAGCAGGAATGGTGTGAAGTTGCGGGGTGGGCAGCAAATTCAAGAAGGGGAAACTGTTGAAGAACTGCTTCCAGCCCCTCTTACCATTGGCCATGCTGGCTGGGGCAAGTTGGAACTGGAGCTAGAGTTGTAGCAAATTCTCCAGTATTTGCTATGGTAGATGTTGAATACCATTGAACAGAGTCCTATAACACAAGTTCCATGGTGAAATGCAGGAACCATCTGGCACTACAATAGTGACTGTGCTGGCTGGAGATGATGGGAATTGTAGTCCAGATATTTAGGGGTTCTAAATTGAGGAAGGCTCAGTAGACAAACTGTTAGGGTATAGAAATGGCTTACCAAGTAGATGACACTGTATTAGCTGGAAAGAGGCACAAATACTCTGAACCCCAACCCTGAGCCTGTCTCTTCTATAAGCAGTACACTCTTAAGCTGCCCTGGCAGCTTAACTTGAAGCCGGTTTAAGAAAAACCTGCCTGCAGTGAGATACTTTGGCAGTGGCTTGTAAGGGAGTCAGTCCAGATTTCAAGTTATCACAGACCACCCACTGGA